CCCTCTCAAACACAGCAGATATACAGTTTACATTGTTGTTGTTTTCAGGAAAACCATCTGAGGAACCCGTCGTCAGGCAAATGTTTGACAGTATCAGGAGGCAAGGTGATTGTGACTACCTGCATATCCACCAGACTCAGCCAAAACTGGGTCTTCATCTGACTCTTGGTCGTGGATTTGTATATGTGGAGCTTTTCATAAAAGATACATTTTAAATATTTAAGAAATATTTTAAATAATACAATTAACACATGCCATTATGTACACTGAAAGAGTTATTGGTCTCTCCCAGTGCCTCTCCAGTGGAAAAGATAGGAAAGAAATCCATAGTCGGTTGTTTCTTTCTGCACAAACATGCCTTTCAAAGTTGAGCCAAAGCTAATGTGAGGCAGTCTGAGTTAACCGAATCATGTGATATCTAAGTTACAGTATTTTAAGCACGGATTCCCCTCTTTACTGTCCCTCTGCTGATGACACAAACAAATGGGGGAAAGTCAGAAAGACCATTGGTTTTAATGTTTCCATGGGGCTTGTTTACTTTACAGAGATGGAAGAAGCTTTTACCTAAAAGTCCAGTATGTAACATTTAGGAGAATCTACTGTTAAGTAGTTATTTGGTCCTGTTTTGTCCACAGGGGCCGCCAGAATAAACATAAAAATGAAGTTCTTTGTTGCTGCTTTAAGTAAAAGATAGCAATACCACAATAAATACTCTCGTACAAGTAAGGTATCAATTCTGACTCATCATGCCTTAACCTATTATAGTAAATCAGAATTTATTTATTTATTATATTTTATATTATTTATGTCAATCTATAAAGTAACTTGTAGCCAAAGTAAATTTATCAAATAAATGGAGTGGAAGTATGAAGTAGAAGAGAATGAAAATACTTAATTCTTGTGTAACATTTAGGAGGATCTATTGGCAGAAATGGCATATAATATTCATGAATTCATTAGTGTATAATAACCTGAAAATAACTATACTTTTTGCTATCTTAGAATGAGCTGTTCATTTCTACAAATGCCACGTGTTGCCTTCCATAAGGTCCGCCATGTTTTTACATCCTAGAAAGGGCCAAACCAAAATGGCTCTAGTTCATGTCTTTCGCTGCCACTGTGGGTTTCTCCTTCACGCATCTGAAGGGGAAGGTGGTGTAGCGAGGGAGTTGCAATCCGCACCACTAGATGCCACTAAATCCTGCACACTGGTCCCTTTAAACACAGGCTCCGAAAATAAAAACATGAATCTTTTTAAATGTGTTTTAAAAAAACTGAGAGATTGTATTGAAGAAATAAATAAAGATTAATATAAAATTAAGTTCCATTATTTCCTCTTCTTTTTCATTTATATATGTGTATTGATTCTCTTTACTTCCTCATACTCATTAATGTGAATAAAGTGCATTTCACCTGTTTTCAGTATTGGGCAGCATATATATATATATATATATATATATATGTACTATTATACTGTTTAACAACCAGCAATGCTCCCAGTAAACCCCCCCCCTATGTACGTATGTGTGTGTGTAGGTGTATGTGTGTGTCTGTGTATGTGTGTGTGTGTGTGTGTATGTGTGTGTATGTGTGTCTGTATGTGTCTGTGTGTGTCTGTATGTATGTGTGTGTGTGTATGTATGTATGTGTCTGTGTGTGTGTATGTATGTATGTGTGTGTATGTGTGTCTGTATGTATGTGTGTGTGTCTGTGTGTATGTATGTATGTATGTATGTGTGTGTATGTGTGTATGTGTCTGTATGTGTATGTGTGTGTCTGTATGTTGTTATGTGTGATCTGTATGGTGTGTGCTGTGTATTATGTGTATATGTGTGTGTGTTATGTGTGTGAATTATTTTGATTAATTTTTTTTTGATTGGCTTATTACTGCGTGGCTTATTCTTCTCATGTTATGTCTTTTTTTTCATTTATTATTTTTTGGTATGTAATTTTGCCCTCACGTGAGGCTCTTAACTCTCCATACCCCAACCGCTCGGACCCGATGGGGAATTGGGGGGGCTTTTGTGCTGCCCGCCCCCCCCAACGTCTGTGGATGCCCTCCCCCTGACACTTGGAGGGCAACCCCAATCATGATGTTTTAAAAGATCTTAAGCATTTCTTTTTGGCAAAGGCTTTTGGTCCCTTTTAGATGTTTTTTTTTTTTTATTCTTTTCTCCTTTTTCTGTATTTAAAAAAAAAAGTTTTTTGTTTCTAACTGTGGCCTTGTGGGGTCTTCTGATGAAAAGGGCATTATAATAAATGTATTATTATTATTTATTATTCATTATTATTCTCCTGTACAGCACTTTGGTTGTTTTAAAGCGCTTAACAAATAAAGTTGGGTTGGATTGTGTCGTACAGTGAAGCCACGCCCACACACGCGCCGACGTCACTGGATCCGACAGTGATGGGGACTCGAGCGAGCGCTGGTGAGTTTCTCCCAAACCAATAAAAACTCATTTCCTCCCTTGTGTCTCTCGAACAGGGAAGTAGGCAGCACCACCGGCCGTGAAGCCACAGTCAGTGTGACAGTGTGTGCACGTAAAGGTCCGCTTTATAACCGGGTTATCGTCTCGTTAACGGACCTGTGAGTAGCTTTACGTTGCTTCGCTTTTGCTTAACATGTAACGTTAAGGTCGGCTGCGTTTTTTTTAAAAAGGCTGGCTGCTGCTTGTGTCGCTTGTCGAGTCATGTTTTCGCAGCGGCATGTGAAGCTATGGTGACAGGGCGTTTTTGTAAATGTTTTTTTTATGTTTATTACCAGCATACAGTCGAGGAGTAACAAAGCGTGGTGGCTCGGTTTTAATAGCAGCACAGTCTGAGCTCTTGCACGGTGCTTTCTGTGTTTTCTTAGTTAGGTAGCTGAAGCTGTGTCCCTGTGTGCTGCAAGTGAGCTTTAGTCCTCCTCTTCGGGATTTGAGAGGATTTGACTAATATCATTATAGTTTGTTATGTGTGTGTGTGTGTGTGAAGGCTATTTATGGGAGCTAATGACCACCTGACAGACCTGCACTGTGTGTTTCCTGTCATTGTTTTGCATTAATGTAGTGTGAATGTAAGTGTTATTCAGAGGTGATGTGCAGGGTTGGTTAGAAGGGTAAAAATAAAGAAGCAAAGTGACGAAATTGCTTAAACTTCCTGATTTGGCTTCTTGAAAATGAGTCACAAGTAAATCTATCCTCTTCCTCAAATATGCAGCTCCTTATCTTTTTGATTGTTGGATGATCGAGGAAGTAACTAGGACTAGTGCCAGTGGTTTTTCTTGTATAGTATAAATATCACAGCATCAGTGGTTTTTTCCCCCAGAGGTTCCCACACAGCCCATTCAGATGAACTCAAGTACTCTTCCATCAGCACCACCAGGCATGTTGCAAAACCAGAGTTATAGTTTTGTGTTTGAGTGTGTAGTTTTTATTGTTTAAATGTTATCAAATTAGATTCTGTGTTAGTTTTTTTTATTTAAATGTTGTGGGTATTTGTCACTGTCACATTTCCTGTTTATTTTTATTTTTAGTTAGTCTTGTTGTTTTGGTTACTTTTCGTCTTTTTCTAAAGTCTAGTTTTTATTTTTATTTCAGTTAACTTAAATGTTTTTTCACGCCTAGTTTTAGCTTTTAGTTTATTTTTAGTTTCGTTCCAATTGTGTTTATTTCCGTAGATACCACATGTTGTTTACCACTAGTGACTATTATATAAAACTGGATATTATTAGAATATTTCTTCATACAGTTGAACTGCCAGTGTTTTGGTTTGTTTAACTTTGCATACATACATACTTGTGGCACAATCTGGGTGTTTCAACCCTTTGTCTATTAACTATTTATCCATTACTCGTGGCTATTTCAAAGAATGATCTAATACTTTAATATTTTTCAACTATTTATCCATTTTTTTGATGATTATTTCAATCATTCATTAAAAAAATGATCTGTTACTTTGAGCCAACTATTTAATCGTCTCTGCTCACTTAGGTTACTGAGTCTCAATTGGAAAACCTGGTGTTCAGATGTTACAGCTGACTCAATATGTTGATGTATATGTTTCTAATTAAGTTGTTACTCCACACAATCTTTTCACATACCGCTTGGCAACTTCCCTTGTTGGGAATACTGTGTTTTAAAGATGTCATCCTTATTTTTCTGTTGTTTCAGGCATCAGTTAGATTAAATTCTACGGCTGCAACTTTTTCATTCTTGATAAAAAATGCTGATTATTAGATGACTTCAGTAAATGTCTTGTTTATTCATATAACAGTCAAAAACCCAAAGATATTAAATGTAGAATTTTATAAATCAAAGAAAAGTTGCCAATCTTCACATTTTTTAGGCTAAAAGCAGTTGATGTTTAGATATTTTGCTTAAAAAATAACCCAAACAATTAATTCATTTTCTGTCTATTATCTAATTGATTAATCACTGTTGTTTCAGCACAATTCAGTTAATCTTCATATTATATGAAGATCTTGTCAGATACACTTGCTGAATAATATCAGACTTTTTAAATCATTCTCAAAGTCAAAGTCAGCTTTAATGTCGATTCTTCAGCTGCACCAGACATACAAGGAATCGAGAGGACGTTTCTATTCACCAAAAAGGTGAAACAGATAAGTGCACGGCCAACGGTAAGGATCAGACATTTCCTAATACTAAAATTTAAACATTCAATTTCACAACAGACAATAAAATATAAAATATACAATAATATAAAATAAGAAAAAAAAAGGCAGATGGTAATGGCAGTTGTGCACTGTGTCATCTAAACCGTAACGGTTATATCACGTTGACAGTTATGAATACAATCTTCTTTACTGTGTTGGGACCATTGACAGTATGGTTGTGACACGAGTCGTGCAAGCTTAACTAGGCTGTTTATGAAAAACAAAGGGAGCAGCGGACTCTACTCGCTGCCTTTAGTCTCTGTAAAGCCTTTAGGGTGCAAAAGGCACAAAAGTCCATTGAATTCACATGTTAGGCAAGCACGCACAAAGTTTTAGGGTAGAGCCAGTATTTGTCTTCTTGATGGTTTGGTTTTGACGTGTAAAAGAAATTTTTTTTGACTTTCTTATTGTCTCCTTTTTTTTTTTTATTAGAGAAAATGACCAACATCCCCCTCTCCCGCTCTGAGGTTTTTGGGGAGCTGAGGAAGGAGCTGCATGAAGATGAGGAGTTCCATCAGTCCGACGTTCACGTCTTCATCATCATGGGAGCCTCGGTGAGAGCAGGGGGAATCCTAATCTAGTGATAATGTAATGAAGGTGTACAAATGGGGAACTGATGAAGCACTTGTGAAATGAAATGAAAGGGCTAACGGTGGAGCCATCCACACTTACATAAGCTTTTAGGACCAATCAAACCTTTCTCTGTGTTCTGTATTTACAGTGTAGGCCACTTGGGCAAGCATTATTGACCATAATTTCAAAGTAAAGTGTGTTGTAATGTTTAACAATGCTGCAATAATAGGACACGATGTGATTAAGGAAATGTTGAAACTGATTTCACCAAGTTTAAGCAAACACAACTCAGTGGTCCGAGCTTTCAAAAGGCTAAAATTGAGACACCGAAAACCTCAAGGTTCCTCTTTTCTTATCATTTTAATAGTGTGTGTGTGTGTGTCTGTGTTCTGTGTGTGGTGTTGTCTGTGTCTGTGGTGTCTGTGTTGTGTGGGTGTGGATAGCTCTTTTTTCCAAGCGTATCAGTACGCGTTTTTTAATACCTGTACTTTCTTTGTGCTGCCAAGCTAACAGCAGACGCGATCTCTCATGACTACTTTATAGTTAACCTCACAACAACAGCATATCTTGGCAAAGTAGAAAGTAAGCTGATGGTCTATGGGGCGAGTCAATATTTAAAGAAATAATTACTTGTTTGGCTTTTCATGCCTTTTATTTGGATAGTGACAGCTTGAAGATAGACAAGAAACTGGGGAAAGAGAGGGGGAGTGACGCACAGCAAAGGGCCGCAGGTTGGAATTGAACCCAGGCCGCTGCGGCAGGGGCCCGGCCCCCGAGTACATGGGGCACACGCTCTACCAGCCGAGCAACTGGGCGCCCTGTGGACAACTAATTTAACTTTATCAGCCCCACATCGTGCCTGAAATGGCTGGAAAGACAAGATTTACACTAGTTTTGTTTAGCTTAGTCTGATCCACTTTGTTTGTGATAAGACAATACTAAACAGTAAATTAAACAGTTGTGTGACAGCTTTGTGTAAATATGTGGTAAATTCAACAACGTCTTTATTTAAATTGTGCAATTCTGCAAATAATAAGTAAAGCAGCAAAGTGAACCAAGCTAAGAAAATAAGCATTAAGTAGTACTGTGCAGTCCTCAGTGATTTATAGTTGCATTAAAATGTAATTTGTTTGTTCTACATGCCTACTCATAATCAAACTTGATTTATATTACAGCTAAAATAAATGGAATAATAAGTTGATATCATGCTCATAATGTAATAATAAATGTCCCACCGTTTTCACAGTTTACTATTTCCTCATACCGTTCAGGTGTCGAGTTCAGGAACTAAAACCATTTCACATCCTGAAACTCTTTAGACTGGTTTCCTCATTTCTTTGTATTCTTACAACATTTCTTTTCTTTCTCTGCCTTCTCCTTCTCCTTCTCTATCAGGGCTTCAATCTATCCAAATATGTGTAAATATGTATAAGTCGTACCTATCTCTATTGTAAAGGAAAACAGTTTTACAGAAACATGTTTTTATCTATGAGAACATGTAAACTAATATGCAAACTCAACCTTTTCCTGTCAGCAGCAGCTTTTCTTTCACTGCTCAAACCACAAATTTACAATAATTAAAACACTAAAGAAGAAACTACAAACAAATATGGTGCCAGTTTAGTTGTTGTAATAGTCAGGCTGCGGTAAATCCACTGGCTGTTTTACCGTTTGCTGTTGGGAGAAGAGAGTGGCGCTGTTTGTTTTTTGCAGTGTCACTGACTGTCAGCGTTTTTCTTTCAGTGTGATACACAGGCAGGTCAGGGGAAGGGCCGGGCTATGTGCAATCTCACTCTGATTGTGCATGTTTGATGGATATATGTGTGTGTGTGTGCTGCTGCTGATTAAATGTTTGTACTACTATTATGTTAATCACCATGTGAATACATACAGTACAGTCACAGCACATTTTCAAACATTTACTCACTGCTACTAATTCAGTAGTTCTTGCTGTTTAGCTTCATGACAATGAAAAAAAGTTTGAGTGAGTTCAACAGGTTTGTCTTTCGCTAATGCTGGAGGATATTGTGCATACCAGATTACCTCAAATTAATTAGTAAGTGTGACATTAGCACATTTGTGAACAGGTTTGGGGAGTAACAGATTACATGTAATGGAGTTGCGCAATCAGGATACAACAAAAGAAGCTGTAATCAGTTACAGGAAAAAAGACTATCAGATTTCAGTTACATTTAGTAAAAAATAGGATTATTGGCAGGATTACAATTTAAAACACATTTTAAAATATTTAACGATATACTACCATGCACATGTGAACATACATTACAGCACTTAACTCCACTCTGGTGACGAGTGAAACCATAGCTAATATTACAGTTTATTATTAATTATCATTAGTAAATACTTTCACTGTGGACATTTCAACATTATTTTGTCTTTAGCAGAAAAGGGAACAACATCACAGTTAAGTGCAAGTTCTTCCTTCTAGCTGTGATGGTCTATAATCTGCTGCCTGAATTTTGAACCCTGTTTGCAAATAGCAAGTTACACTTCTCTGTTCCTCTTATGTGCAGTTATTAACTTAAACATGCAGTCTTAAACAAAGTAGCAGGGTTACAAGTTGAGGAATCCCCATCTGAGGAATAGAGAGTCTTAAAAGGAGATTGTGATCTAGGCCAACAGTATACTATTGTGGGAATTACTTTTAATTAATTCTAATGTCCTGTTCGGTCCTGTCTTTGTATTGTTTGTTTGCCTCTGGTCATCCCTGATTTATGAGTACCTCTTGTCAGTACCTGACACTGGCACAGAAACCTTGTGTGTGGTCGGTTAAACATGTCAAACACGATCAAAAGTTGCTCTGTTACATTAGCTCTTATAGTTGAACCACGAAGCAACAGGTTCTTCAGCGTATTAGTTAGCACCAGACAGTCTTTTGTCTCTGGACTGTTTGTGGTTGGCACTGCTTTCAGTGGGATTACTAAGGTTGCATAATGCCTACTCACCTGCTAGTGTGACCTGTAGTACTGCAGCATCTTAAGAGTTTGTGTCATGGAAGATAACTACCACTCTGGTCGGAGTGCACTGGTTTAATGAGCAGTAATTCCTACGTAATTAAACACATAATTGTTTATTGTGTGTATTGTGTTTGTGACCTGTATTTTCATATTTCTGATCATGTGTTTGTGCCTGTAGGGAGATCTGGCCAAGAAGAAAATCTACCCAACTCTATGGTGAGTGAACCTCTGAAGGCTTTTACATCAGTAGCACAGCAGAATCTGAGGAAAGGTACTCGTCTTATCTGAAGTTGGGTGTAATGAACCAGACGTTTCCTCTGTTCTCTTCCAGGTGGTTGTTCAGAGATGGTCTCCTCCCTGAGAAGACATATTTTGTGGGCTTTGCTCGCTCTGACTTGACAGTTGATGCCATTCGGGCTTCTTGCATGCCATACATGAAGGTAAAACGAGTTTTTTAGATGCAGCTTTTTGAAATCTAACAGATTTGTTTGAGGGGAGATGGAGGAAATTACAGTAGATAAGTACACAAATGCATACAATTTCTTTAAATAAATATTCCCATGTTTAACTTCCGTCCAATTGGTCTTCCCCCATTGATCTCCATGTGTCATTTCTCTAATTTACAATTTAGTGTAATTGTTGTGTCATTCCTGTCCTTCTCTTCTCCTTTATGTCTGCATTTTTAAAAATCCTTATTAAATCCATGTGTGTGTAAATGTTCCCAACCTCAGGTGACGGATACGGAAACAGAACGGTTGTCCGCGTTCTTCAGCAGGAACACGTACATCAGTGGGAAATATGCAGATGACAGTTCCTTCTCCAAACTCGACGCACACATCCTGTCTCTGCCCGGTGGACCCGAGGCAAACCGTCTCTTCTACCTGGCACTGCCACCCACCGTCTACCACGATGTTTCCAAGAACATCAGGCACTGCTGTATGAGCACAAAGTCAGTACACACACTTACATACTGTTGCTGTGTCACACTGTTTACTTGTTGTTTTGCAAGAGTCTGTTTGTGCGTTGTCCACTGCCCTGCTGTGTCTGACTGTAAACAACAGAAACCCTCAAGTCAAGTCAGTCTTAAAGAGCGCAAAGAGACCTGACCCAATGTCAGGATTTAAACCCAGTTGGGTCCCACTGATAACTGTTATGTCCATTTTCTTCTGTGTGTGTGTGT